ACGAATAGAGCTTCCGACCCCCCTTAATTTCATTGACCCTCCACACAAGTTGAGGAAAAGGAGTTAAAAGAAGTACTCTGGCGAGCGCCAGATGTACAGAAATTGCTCTTGCTCGACTAATAAGGGTCGACCGTGCAAAAGACTGCAGTTGGAACCCCCACTAAGTGAATAAAAAGAAAAAAAGTAAGTAAAATGAAAGTGAAAATGGGGTTCCAACGGTGAAATGAAGTGAAGAGCACCCCGGTACAACGAGTCCTTGGTAGTGGATGGTGTGAGTCTCTTTATCCATGAACTGACTGTCTTACTTCTACTTCTTCTCATGATCCTGGCTTGAGTCTAGTACTTGCATTGAGAGAGATAGGGAACGTCTTAGAAGACCAGTTGACCTCGTAAGCTGCTATATGATCTAGGAAATCCTCTACCGACGATTGGGGTTGTTTGTTGCTATAGAGGTCTGGAGAGTTGCATTGGTTTGAGTCAGGTTTGCTTGGGGACAAGCAAACAGTTAAGTGTGGGGGAATTTGATGACTCGATATTTGCACATGTTTTCCCCTTTGTTTCTTGATCGTTTAAGCTTGCATTATCGCTTCTTTGGCCTATTTTACGCTAGGTTGTGTTCCTTTGTCACATTTCAGGCCCTAGCACATAAAGTGAAGCGTAGGCGCAAGTTTCAAGTCAATCGGAGATCAATTGGCGATTAGGGAGAAGAAACACGAACATGACCTGAAGAAGAATGGATTTCTACCTCACTTTATGGACAAAGAATCATGAAAGTTTGTTATGAAAAGAAAGAGGACGAGACTACGAGCGTCTGGGTTCAAACGGCGACTGATTCGGAGTCCGGACGAGGGAGAAACGAAGCTTTGAACAGGGGTGGAGGAAGAATTACGGGCAGGAGAATTACGACCGTAATTTCCCCTCCCATGCCCGTAATTTCACTGCCGAGAGGAGCTTTGGGTGCGCTGAAACTTAACCAAAACGCGTGTTTTGGGCAAAATACGGGCATGGAAGAATTACGACCGTAATTCAGCCCGTAATTCGCCCAGAATCGGGTTTTTGAGGCAGATTAGAGCCAAAGGAAAGGGAGAGCTGGGTTTTGGATGCCAAACACCCAAGGGACGAACCCTAGAGAGAGAGAGAGAGCGACTTGGGAACATTCTTGGAGCTATTTTGGAGGATTTCTTCGCCATTGGAGCTCGGGAATCAAGCTTGGAGATGGAGATTGAAGATCTAGATCAGATTTCTGCAGTCTCTCTCTTCTCTATGGAGTAACTTCCCTTCACTTAGGTTTTGAGGAACCTTAGTTCCATGAGTTAGGATCTTTCTTGTATGAAGTTTTGGATGCTATATTGTTTGATTATAATCGAATGATGCATGTTTATTGAGTCAATTGAAGTCTGATCAACTTTTCGTGATTCCTGCTGCAATCTGAGATAGATAGAATCTGATTAGGTTGCTAGAGTCTCATCATTCGGTAGTAGGAGATTGGCTATACGAGAGTTAGCCAGTTTACTGCTTTGTACTGGAATCCAATTCCAGTAGTGGAGTTCTGTGCTTATTGCTTCAGCTTTCTATCCCGGTGAAGACTAGTCGTCTGCCGGATAGTTAGACTGAGAGGGCTTGGTCAGCTTAAGAGATTCCAAGCTACTGACGGATCTTCCGCAGTTTAATCAACAGTAAATCAACCAAAAGGAATTACAACTTGGACCTAATTGAGGAGCTAGGGGGAATCATACCTAAGTGAGTTCTCAAACTGTAATTAGTAGTTTTACTTAGTTTAGTTAGTAGAGTAGTTTAGTTAATCAATCCTTAATCTAGTTTGCTAGATAATGAACTGAAGCTGAGTAATAGTAACTCTAGAGACCCGTGGATTCGATATTTATTACTTGTGCCACTATACTACAGTCCCTTTCATTGGTTACACTTGGCCATTGTTAGGTGTTGTGTTTTAGAGCACCAGCGATATAAACAAGAGAAATTATGTTTGGTAGAGGAGGCCCTAATTGTCAAACTATAAGGTTGGAAGTATCGTGTGTTATCTCTGGTAGCAAAAATAACCTTGATAAAGTCAATTGCAGCGGCGTTCTCGATTCATGTCATGAGTTGTTTTCAGTTACCGCTTTCCCCACTATGACGCCTCAATGTCATTGGTGCTAGCCTTTGGTGGGAAGCGGTTCAAGGAAAACATCCACTACATTGGTTGGAGTGGAAAATTTTATGTGCCGACAATTTTGAAGGAGGTTTGGGGTTCATGGATTTCGTTGGCTTCAATCATTCTCTCTTCGATAAGATATGATGGCGGATTCTTCAAGATATCAACTCTATTCTAGCTTGGGTTTGTGGATGAATATAATACTCTTGACTCCATTAGTATTCTTGAGGTGAGTTTAGGATCCGATCCTTCTTCTGGTTGGCATAGTGTGCATCATCTACGTTTCTTCCGCAAAGATAAAATTATATTATTCCTTGCCTTCTCTGTGAATATATGATTGCCAGAAAGAATCTCCCAACTCAAGTGAAGTTGAAAGAGAAGACCATTACATCAAGGAACTATAAATAGGAGGAAACGAAAAGACAAGCCTCACAGAATGTGGCTGATCAATTCTACACAAAGCAAGATCAAACACTCTGTGATTAGCAATAAGAGTCAGAAGTGATAGCAGTTCACTATCTATATTGCTTGAGTGATTGTGAGGTCGTGTTGTTTCTCTCTTTTGCGTGAGTGCTTGTGAGGAAAAGAGAAATGGGTATATTTCTCTATTCTTGTCAAGGGTTTACCCAAAGGGAATCAATAACTTGGAGTTATATTGGAAAAGGTTAAAACCTAGACACTGTAGGGTAAGCCACCTTTGAGCCGAGATGTAACAAAATAGACCAGACTCAGTTAACAAAACATCTCATGTACATGTGTCTCTTCTTAGCATCATAATACAATGTCAATCGATTCAGTCGTTTAGAAGCTCTTATGGATGCTAAGGGTCCATCCAAAAATAAGATTTGTTTCATTGTAACATTCTCCTTTATGTCTTACCACAAACAAAAATACTAGTAATTTACTATATATCGACGATCTTTGACTGATGTGTAATCTTGAGAGTGCATCGTTAGAACATGTGTTCTTCTGTTGTCCTGTCACAGTTAAATTATGGGACATGTGGACTCATTTCATGGAGTTTCCATTTTCTCTCCTTTTACTAATCCATGGTGACTAAAATATTTTGGAGGTGGTGGCTCTACTATAGCAGATTTGGGAAAGCAAATGCATTGTGGATTTGATCATTTTCAGCTTCATGTGAATATGGATCATGTCTTTGTTGGATGATTCTCCTCTTGTCAACGCTCCATTGCAGGTCCTAGTAATGGGATGCGATTGTCCAACCAGCGACAAAGATATGCTTATAATTGTTTCTCCTATGAGGCGACTTAAAGGGATTATTTACTAGGTTGGGTTTGTACTTAAAATTTCAGGTGAGGTTCCCCTAGAAGGCGGAGCGTCCCTTTACCCAAATATGTTGGATCTGTTTGTTGTAGAGGCTTTGGCACTGATGAATGTGATCATGGAGTGCCATATGTAGAAGCCTCAGAAAGTTATTCTTTTGGTGATGCCAAGACCATGATTGATCGTTGTAGTAAAGTTATCTTACCATGTCCTCTGGATTTATCTTGAAAAAACAAATTTGACTTGATAAAAAACTTCCCCACAATCATAGTAATATTAGTTAGCCTAAACACCCAACAGTAAATATAAGTTCCTGTGAGCCAAAACATGCTAAGTTAATAAGTTGTTGTATTTAGCCATTAATAACCAATAGAAAACTCATAATAATCATTGAAACTCAATCGTGCATCGATTCAACGAGTATTAGTATAACAGATTGACAACGGAACACCGTGACCTCAAAAGAAAGCTTTATGACATTGGGTTTCTTGAATTTTGGGGATGAAGACAGTGACATCAAGTTCAATAGAAGATGGCACTACTGGGTGATGAGTGATCGTTTCACCCATCACGTAAATCATAAGAAATAAAAACTAAAGAGGACGAGATTAGGGTTTTTATTCTTCATTGATTGATTAAAATGTAGAAATAAAGTACATATTTATAAGAGAACCAAAAAACCTAATCACTTACCAATCCTACATGAATACTGTTACTTAATCCCAAAGAAACTACCTTAAACACTTAATTAATTAATACGATTCCTAAACAATGTCTAAAACCGACCCACAAACTAATAACAATACTAATAATGATAATTGGCTGCAGATAATGATAATGCATCAATCCTCCCCCCTTCGAATAACTTCGTCCCCGATGTTCAGGCAACGTCTCAACCCGGATCGATGAGAAAGCTGTTGATGACAGCAGAGAAAACGGATGTTCGTTGACTCCGACCTCATTTACAAAACTTCCAATTACGTCAAGAAAAAAACCAACATCGACAACTCCTATATGCACGGGCCTCATATCTATTGCGAACCAATGGATTACTCTAACAAAGTCAGCTCGTCCATTCGTCAACACCAAACTATGATATCCCCCTTCCAAACTCATTATCCATGCAATCCATGGCTTACCCCACCCATGTCACGTATAAAGGCATTACCAAAAGATTTTCCCATGCTAAGTAAATTCTCATGCACTCCTAGGCTCCTATAGTCCGGGGTGGAAATAGGACGGGAACGGGTACCCATCCCATTTAAACGGATACAGATCTGCACCTCCCATCCACCATCTCACAATTAGTTTTACCTACACCAACCCTCATCAATTCATACTGCCATGAACAAATCAAGGGTATAGCTAAGTGGGATCTTGATGAAGCGAGGATTTCTTCAAAGCCTACAACAGAGCGGCCGACTTTCCCGGCCAAATTATCTTTGACCAGTCCTCCACCTGCAGAAATCATCTTCCCTTGACACCCGTGAAACCCAACCATGTCAACTCTACTTGTAATACGCTCCACACCTTAAAAAATCCCCAAACCAACTCGGACACCCTTACCCACACGACTTGACCCAACTGCGACTAATTTATCTTACCCATCCCCTATGGGACTTCTTCATCATCGCGCTCTTGGCCACCGTCCTCCAACTCCCTTTTCTTTCTGAATTTCCATGAAATAGCATATTGGATTGCGATTGTTCATTTCTCATTCTAGTCCTCTAATCCATCCTCCAAAGGAAACATCTCCCGGCCGCCCGCGATGCTGCTTCGTTGTTGTTTGTGGCGATCGGCCTGGCCGCTTCGGAAGAAGTTGTAGCAACAGCAGCATGAAGGATTGGGTTAGACGCCATAATGACGCGGTTGAGAGTGAGCTGCATACGCCTCATCTTGTTAGTGGAGTTCAGAGCTTGAGGCTCAAGTTCTGCTTTGACGCATTCAGGGTGCGAGGTCGTCCTGATTTTAGTGAATCAGAGTCGATTGGCTCTCCGGAACCAACAAAAATCAATTTGAACTCCTTATTTTCCTCAAAGAGCTCTGCCAATCTGTGCTCCCCATTGGGCACCTTCTCATTCGCACTTGCCTGGGTTGCAGTATCAAAGGATTGCCTTGTCAATGCATCGGCGGTAGTAGCGGGCTCAATCGCAAAGTCTTCTTTTGTAGCAATGGTGACGGATGGAGGAGCTACGACTTCCGTAATAGAAGTTGTGGCCAAAGCATACAACTGTCGGTCCATTGAAGTTGCGAACATTGGCGCTGTGGCCAATACTTGTGATTTGACGTTGGTGGCTAGGGATTTGGCCGCTGAGTCGTGATATCGGCTTCAGTTCTCCCTACAATCACATGCAACCTCCTCCGCGCATCTCTATACCAGATGCTCATGGTCGATAACTCCCAACCAATAGCTTTGAGACCCAATTGTAGATGCCACGGAGTGCCAAGGACCACATCGAACCCAGGAATCGGCAGCTCCAACAAATCAACCTCCAACCACGCTCCTTGTGCTTCGACTGGAATGGCCTTATAGCACCAAGTATAGATGAAAGATTCTCCTTTAGTCGCCTTGATTCGAATTGTGGAAATTGGAGTAGCTCGTAATGACAACCTTCTCGCAACGTCACGACTGATAAAGATTTGAGAGGCATAAACGTCCATCAAAGCCATCGTTGTCTCTTCCTGGATAGTCATGATGAATAGAGCGCTCGCCCCATTCAAGACACTGGTTAGGGAAGAGCGTGAAACCTCTCCTTCAGGCTGCTCGTCATCGGAGTTTGGTGGTCGTCTTTGTCTCCTATCACGGCCGTCATCGTTGCTGGCAGTGCTCGTGGCCTCGGCGAAAGGTGGTTGTGTATCCACCTGGTCATGGCGGGGCGTGGTTGCTCGCGGGACCTCTTTCCAACATTGGTGGTCAACTAGAAGATTCGTAGAGCTTGGCTCCGTCGAACCAAGCTCTGATACCAATTGATGAGTGATCGTTCACCCATCGCGTAAATCATAAGAACTAGAAACTAAAGAGGATGAGATTAGGGCTTTTATTCTTCATCGATTGAATTAAAACATAGAAACAAAATACATATTTATTGAAGAACCAGAAAACCTAATCACTTACCAATCCTACAAGGATATGATAACTTAATCCTAAAATAACTACCTTACACACTTAATTGATTAATACGATTCCTAAACAATATCTAAAACCAACTCAGAAACTAATAATAATTATAATAATTGGACGCCGAGAATGATAATGTATCACTGGGTTCGTTGGGTTTCAACACCAATTTTTGAGAAAAAAACAATGCCAATGTGGAAATAATAATCTATCAAGATGAAAAGGTTGTGCGGGAATGGATCAGGTCCATAACTTTATGGTGAGTAACCCGTCTACATCAGCATGACATAAACATCTCTCTCCTGGAAAGCAATTAATTTTTCCCTCCTTAATCTTTGACGGACGATTTCTCACTCGTTTTAAGTCAAAATTTAATTTTTTTTTGCACAGTTAGATCACATTAATTATGCTCTTCAAAATTTATATCCACTTTGATATATTTTTGGAACAAAAAAATTGAGCCATTTTTTACCATTCTATACCATAGGGTATTGACTAGTATTGAAATAAGAGCATACCTATGGTTTGCAAAGCGTATCATGGTGGTATGAACAAACCAAGACTGTAGGATGGTTGAATACATGATAGTATAAGGATATTAACGGTTATTTACGACTTTTAACATTGTGTACCACAACATACCACCCAGTACCAGGGTGATATTTTGTGGTATTGTGTGGTATTTTTTGGTCTTGTAATTTGTTCACCCAGAAATTTGTAGATCCAATAGATCATGATGAACTCGTTCCTTCTGTGCAAACGTTTTCAAAAACGAATTAAAAATGAAAAAGATACCATATGGTATGCAGTTGGTACTGAGAGACAAGAATTTTTTTTTTAAATATTGAAAATGGATCTCGTTTTGTAGAGCACAACGAACTCGTTCCATATGTGCAAAAAAAATTGAAATCCGAGTTAAAGCGAAGAAGATATGAGCCGATTAAGAAAATAAGGAAAAATAAAAATGACATTTAATTCTTCATCCTTAGATCTGGATTTTCTGAATGAAGGGTTCAAATTTAGTTATTCATAGGTGCATAACCCTTGAGCCAGGTTGTGCTAATGGTATCACGAGAGAGCTTCTTCCAATAATAATAATATTGGAGTTTATTTCTTTTTTAATGACTCATGGCTTTTTAATTTTGTTTTTGAATTGGATATTTTGTGTGTTCTTTATGGTTAAATTAAAATTTTTACTAAGCACTAACAAGGTGAGAAAAATCCAACTGAGTTTCAAAGATACCATGAAACATCCCACCTCTTTGAATTTGGAAAAAGACATTTCTACCCCGGGGTATAATTTAAAAATCTCAAATAACACCAGTTGATAGGGCAAAAGCGTATAGCTTCAATTCCTATCTTGTAGTAAACCGGAAAGTCCGGGTATCGTCTCTCAGGGACTGGTACAACCTTAAGATTTACCGATTTAATAGAGCAAACTATAGGTGAAAATGATTTAATGAGATTATTAACTACTAGCAAAATTAACTAAACAAGCAAATTAAAGTGTCGGGTTTAAATCAATGGGAGAAAGCTCTGGGAGAAACACCGGGATTCACTACCTATCCTATCCAGATTAATTCACAGATGCCAATCAATTTAATCCATACCTCTACAGCCAGGATATCACGAATGTGCTAGCTATCCCTGTCGGGAATTAATACGTACTAAATAATCAATTCAAATCCTACTGTCGTAGCTCAATGAATTAACTATATAGCCTGAAGATCGATATCCTATTTAAGACCGCATAGCACCTTATTTAATCCACTGTCGCTTCGATAAGTTACTATGTCGCATGAAATAGGTTCAGTTAATAGGGTTTCACTGTCGCTAATAACCTAATCAACTACGATTCATTGTATTGGTGGCCAGTCAACACAAAGCATTAAGCTATTTCATGCAATAGAGATTGGAAGAAAAGAATCATGAATCAATCCATCAAATCAAGAAATAGCTACATCCTATGGTGTTTCCCCCAGAAATTGGGGTTTAGTTCATGATGAAATTAAGATAAATCGATAGGGTTTTGTTCATCATGTTCTAAAACAACAAGAAACAACTAATTAGGTTTAGAAAATCCAACCAACTAATCGCTCTCGTTGAATTCAGCTCAAGCCGCCTGGAAAACTGATCGCTGCTCGATGAGAAGTTGCTCGTCCCAAGCTCCGCTGCGCCGCTCGCTGCTGTTCTTTCTTTTTCTTCCTCTCCAAGAATTCCGCCTGATCCCCCCTTTTTTTTTCCAAGTGCCGCCGCCCTTTTAATTCCCTGCTGCCCCAGACTCCGAGAATTTTGGATTCCTCCCTATAATAATTCCCCAGAGAAATTCGTGGCCCCAGCTTCCCCAAAAGAATAGCCCACCTTCCAGAATAATTTCCCCTCCAGTAATTGCCTTCGAAGTCTCTCCGTGCCAAATTAGCTCCCCCTGGCCAAAATTAGTTCCCCCAGCCGCTCTCCTCCAGGCCCACTTCCTCTGCTCCATCCAGCTGGGCCTTGAGCCCAATTTCATGTCCTAAGCCACATGCTATTTAACCAGTGATTCGAGAATTGTTTGTCGGTGCAACTTCTTTTTCGTGTTTTCTTCACCTGTAACACATCAAACTCATGGCACTAGGCAGTAATGGTTTTTCAACCATTCTCGGGTTAGGAAGCCCTAAAATACACCAATCGGCTTAAACATATCATGGGATAGTCACATAAAGTTCGAGAATCAGATATATTAAAGCCGATTATCACCAGTTTAAATAAAATACCAAACTCAAATATCTAAATATCTCAAATTGAGCCCTAAACACGCGGGCAAAACTCAAATTGTCCAAAAGAAATGAATCTCCAATCTTTAACTCTTAACCATAAAGTCTTAATAACTTAAAAAGTTCTCTGATGCTTACTCTGACGCCTGGCTCGACATCTCTCAGCGACGATGGTGTTGAGCTCCTCTAGATTGCTGATCACGGACTGGCTGGTTAGGATTTCCTCCTCTACAATCTGGTGAGTGAGTTGGGGTCAGTCTACGCCCTTACGATTGAAATATCTAATACATTAGTATTCTTCTCTAAACACTTAACTTCTTTGGAAGTCATTTTGTACTTCCATTCTCAACAATCTTAACTCATAAAATTCTTCGGGAGTTAAAGTTACTCTCCCTTCTTAAAGCTCAAAACTTGACTTAAATCTTTTGACTGACATGGGGATCCCTCACTAGCTAGTCCGGTTGCCAACTCATACGTATGAGCAGCCATTCAGGCCTTCCTTAAACTTAAACTTAGTTAGGGAAGTCGTAACGATTCATCCCCCTAACATCTTAAACTTATCGTGGTGGCTCTTCACCACGATTCTCAAGGACATAACTGATGCCCATCTTAAAAGTCTCAAGAGCATAACTGCTGCTCTATTTAAAAATGTCTCAAAAGGCAACGGACTGGCGCTAGTGACTAAAAACACTTAAAACGACTTCACCTTCTTAAAAAGAACTTGTTCCTTAACTTTAACAATAACTTATAAACTTAAAGCTTTAATTTAAATAAGAACTCATGCACATTCACATCAAACATAGCTCAAACAAAATCACATAACATCAACCATAAGCACAATCAAACAATGACAATCACTCATCAAAATACTTAAGGCTTGCAATTCTTGAAAGAACACGTAAGGCGTAGAATTTACCCCCTTTACACTTGATAACAATGTAATTGCACATGTTTGCACCCCTAGTTCATATCCGTTTGTGGGGCGTAGTCTTGTATTTTTGGCCTATTTTACGCCGGGTTGTGCTACTTTGTCAAATTTTAGTACCCAGACGTCGAAGGAAAGGCTAAGTCATTCGGTTTAGCTGGAGCCAAAGCACGGGCTCGCCTAAAGCAAAGTACGGCCGTGTTCCTGGACCGTGCTTTTACTGCCGAGGCTTGATCCAAGATTGTCCTGCGCTGGCCCAAAACACGGGCGAGACTGACTCAAAACACGGCCGTGTCCAACCTTAGGCACAACCGTGTTTTCCCCAAGATGTGGTTGTGTTTTTAAAACGAGGAAAAACACGGGCGGGCAAAACCAAAGCACGGCCGTGCACTCGACCGTGTTTTGCCAAGGGTCGGCCTTTTAGGCAGATTTGAGCGAAAGGAGAAGGAGTTCCGAGTTTTAGAGAGACAGAGCGATTCCTAGAGAGAGAAAGCGGCTAACCAGAGTTCCCAAGTTCCCTAGCTTGATTTTCATCACCATTGGAGCCCGGCTTGATCTTGGAGAAGATCCGATTGAGCGCCGAAAGCAAATTATCATCCTTTACAGTATGGTTTCCGCATCTGAGCTAGATTTCCCATCTCTCTCTATGGAGTAGTTTTCTTATTCATCTGGGTATGGAGAACCCTAGATTTGTATGTTAGGTCTGATTGTATGAACTTAAGTACAGATTCTATGATTTGATTATTTTCAATTGAGGTTTGATTTATTGAATAGCATGAATCCTGATCAAATTCCTGTTGTTTCTGCTTTAACATAGAAAGAGAATATCTGCCTAGGTTGATAGAGCACCCTTAA